CTCCTCCGCGCCCTCCGCGCCCGCCTCGGCCGCCCCGTCGTCCTCGTCCTCCTCGGGCTCGCCCTCGGGCTCCGAGATCTGCGCGGCGATCTGCATCTCGAAGATGGTGTCCTCGCAGAAGCTGACGAACAGCTCCATCTTCTCCGACTCGCCGCCCTCGTTCACCACGTCGAAGATGAACTGGCGCTTGGACTCCTTCACCTGCGGCGCGGGGGCGGGGGCCCGGGGTCAGCGGAGAGGCCTCGGCTCTCCGCCTCGTTATTAACGATATTGTTTTATACTTAGTAGAGTTTAATCGCTTAAAGCGAAATCAATGTTTCGTTATTAATAGTAAACGTATATAGCCCTTGTTGTAGGTCCTCTTGTACCAGGCCCCGTACCAGGCATCTTGCATATAGTACCTTGTTCAACCCTCACGAACAACCCCTAGGGGCTCTTAACCCCATTTTACAGATGAGGAAACGGAGACCCAGAAAGTCACTGCTCTGGGGACATCGCTGAGGGGTGACATAGGTGGGACTGGAAATCCCAACGAGCTGGCTCCAGAATCCATGATTTTAGCTTCCTTGAGAGACAACATAGTGCCTGAGACAACAGCCAGCCTGCCTGGGTTCAAATCCCTATTCTGCTACTGAGTAGCTGGGTGATTTCCATGTAACTCTGGGCCTCAGTTTCCCCTTCCATAAGTTGGGGACAATGATAGGACCTACCTTATAGAGTTGGTGTGATGGTTAAGTGAGTTAATAGATGCTGGGTTAGAACAGCAGCTGGCACCTCATAAGTGCCACATAGTGTTCGCTACTGTTATACCGCTGCAGGAATGCTCCAGGTCCACACCCGCACATGTGGACTCCCAACCAGCAGGGGAAAGTGGGCCGGGAAGGGGTGAGCAGGTGGAAGTTTGTGTTTAGAGGAATACACTAAAGGAATGAGTGTCACGTGGGGAGCATGAGACTGGCAAAGGGAAAGGCAGAGCTCCCTGAGCCTGGACAGGAGTATGAAGGGCCAGGGGTGAACCTGGACTTCTGGTGGATGCAGGGATGTGGCAGACATCTGGGCGCAAGGATGGTGCAACCACTTTTAGGCCACATTAGGGGTGGTAGTAAGTATGCAATGGTACCCCAAGGGACATAGTTGAGCATGCAAACTCTTGAGGATTCCTGTGGGCTATGGGAAGGAGCTGATGTGCAAGAGCCTTGAGAGGGCACCAGGACTAAGGGAGGAATCAGGTGCGAGGGCGTGGTGAAATGGGAAGATTGGGAAATACGTGACCATGTGGGGCTCAGTGTGCATGTGGAGATGGGCACACAGGGCAGGCAAGCAAGGGCCTGAGGCCAAAATGGGGGTGGAGGGAGGGGTCTACAATTCATAGGGTCAGTGCATGTGAGGCAGGCATAGTGTGCAAGGGGGCCCCAGGATCACTGCAGGGGCCCAGGACATGAGGACAGGGCTCGGTGTGGGCCATGAGCGCAGCTGTGCATGAGTTAGGTGTCCACTGAGGAGACATGAGGGGCCCAGTTGGTGAGGAGGTGATGGGAGTCAAAGCCTCCTGGGCTACAAGTGGGAAGGGGTGTGCAAGAATGTGTGGCCGAGTATGCAGGTGCCTGGGGGCATACGAGGAACAAAACGGAAGTGTGAGTTTAAGGGGAATGCAAGGTGTATGCAGGCTGGTGTGCAATGTGTGTGTGTGCAGGAGGGCCACCAGGGCAACAAGGGCATGGCTGGGGGCTGAGGTGTGTCAGGGGCATGTGCAAGTGGCAGAGAGTGAGTGATAGGATATACATGCAAGCTAAGTGTGTGAGGTGGGCCAGGGGTGTGCTAGGACCACATGAGTGTACTATCGGGGTAAGTGAATGTGTAAAGGCATGCAAACACTTGGGTTGGGCATAGGAGGGGCTGAGCCAGAGCCAAGAAGTAGGCCTCGCTGCCAAGGACATGTGGGGACTCCTATGGGATGTTTGAAAGGGTGGTCCAAGAGTGCATGGGTGATCATGAGTGTGCCAGGCTACAGTGAGGGCATGTAGGAGGTGAATGACTAAATGGACAGCCATATGGCACACCAGGGCTGCATCCGCTGAGTGAGTGTGCGAGATGTGGGTCCAGAATAGGTGGGATGGGCATTGTGTGCTAGTGCTAGGACCTGCGGGCACATACAGTGGCTGGCAAGGGCATGGTCCCCCAGGGCCCTCAAACCGAATGTGAAAAAATGTGGGCATGGATAGGCCAGGGCCAAGAGAGGGCACAACAGGCTCTGCTTTGTAGGTGAGCAAGGGCACTGCAGGGCCCATAAAATGTGTGCAGAAGGGTAGGNGGGAAGGTGAGCAAGGGCACTGCAGGGCCCATAAAATGTGTGCAGAAGGGTAGGCATGGGCTTGCACGTGCAGAGCAAGGACCCACCAGGGTCTTCAGGCCATTCGTGCGAAGCATGCACAGCCCCGAGTGGGGTCCCAGCGAGCGAGGAGCACGCCCCCGAAGCCCCGGGAGGCCAGCATGCAGGCGCACGGCCCTGACCTGGGGCATCTCCCACTGGGTGCGGTTGGTCTCTGAGATCTCAAAGTAGATGCGCTCGATGCGGCGCGAGGCGCCCATGATCTCGATGCGGCCCAGGTAGGGGCGGAAGTACTCCAGGATGCTGTCGGCCAGCTCCAGGAAGGTGCGCAGCCGCGGGTCGTGCGGCACGTGCTCCGACAGGTCGGTCAGCAGCACGGCCACGTTGAAGCCGATCTCGCGCGCCGGCTCCTGGAAGCGGTTGGCGAACTCCTCGCAGTTGATCATCTCGTTTTCATCCGCCTCGGAGCAGGACAGCAGGAACTGGATTTCCGGGCCGCTGAACTGCTTCTGGCTGTCCATGGCCTGGGTGTGGGCAGGGGCGGGGAAGAGGTCAGCGGGGTGGCCGGGGAGCTCACAGCTCCTCTTTTATATATATATATTTTAAACATATCTTTATTGATTTCAGAAAGAGGAAAGGAGAGGGAGAGAGAGAGATAGAAACATCAATGATGAGAGAGTCATTGATCGGCTGCGGCCCACAACCAGGGCATGTGCCCTGACCGGGAATTGAACCCTGATCGCCTGGATCCTAGGTCGACNCGATCTCGCGCGCCGGCTCCTGGAAGCGGTTGGCGAACTCCTCGCAGTTGATCATCTCGTTTTCATCCGCCTCGGAGCAGGACAGCAGGAACTGGATTTCCGGGCCGCTGAACTGCTTCTGGCTGTCCATGGCCTGGGTGTGGGCAGGGGCGGGGAAGAGGTCAGCGGGGTGGCCGGGGAGCTCACAGCTCCTCTTTTATATATATATATTTTAAACATATCTTTATTGATTTCAGAAAGAGGAAAGGAGAGGGAGAGAGAGAGATAGAAACATCAATGATGAGAGAGTCATTGATCGAGCCCGCAACCCGGGCACGTGCCGTGACCAGGAATCGAACCCTGATGGCCTGGATCCTAGGTGGATGCTCAACCGCTGAGCCACGCCGGGCTGGGCTCAAAGCTCCTCTTAAAACAACTGTGGACTTTTCAGGGAGACGGAAAAGTCCAGAATCATATCGCCCGCACCCGAGGCTGACGCTCAGCCTGTTGGCCCGGGCAAGGCTGTACCAGCCATTCAAGTACCGAAATGCTGCTTTTCCACAAAGGTGAGCCACCATCCGCTGGAAGGTGCATCCCATTGTCAGAGACGGTAAGATGCAAACCGATGAAACTAAGCCCTCGTGTAGTAATTGGTAAGAGATGCTGCCCCAAGCTCTCTCTGTGTCACACAGGCCCCTCTCCACCCTGCCTTCCTCCCCCTTCTCTTGCTTGATGGCACCCACGGTCTGCACCAGCAGCTCTCTTGGTCCCCTGGCTGTAGGTGGGGTCCCACCAGTTGGGGTCAGGGAGCAGGAGGAGATTGGAGCTGTGGCATTTCTCCCCCTAGCCTCCTTCCTGGGCTGGCTGTGTCCCTGGCTCCAAGGCGAGTCCTCCAGCCCTGTCCACACAGCTCCTTCTTTCTCCAAGTTAGGAAACTACTCTTTCCTCCAGGTAAGCCCCCTCGAGGATAAGGCCCTGACTAATACACGCCACAACCAAGTGTCCCCCCCATATCCAGCAACTAAATAATTGACACCTGACACATGGAGGCCTCTGAATTTCACCTGGTAACAGAGAGTCATATGTTCATCACCCCAGAGTTAACAAATGCTCATGATGAGATATTTTCAAATACTACATATTTTAAAGCTAAAACATTACAGGTATGATTGGAGCCCGCTCTAGTATCCTTCTCTTGCTCCATTCCCCCACCCCCAAGGTACCCACTATCCCAGAGTCAGTGCACCCTTCCAAACATGTCAATACTTTAACTACCTATATCCCATCATTTCTCACAAAAATAATAAATAAATAATATGTATCCTGTGCAGTTTTTTTTTTAATTTAAAGAATCATGTAATTTGAAACTTGCTTTTTTTCACTCAACTGTATGTTTTCTAGAACTATCCATGTTGATATATATCTGGATCAAATGAATTTATTTCACTGCAGTGTAGTATTCCTTTTTCATAAATATAATACTCTTTATTGAAGTTGTTTCCAGTGTTTTACTTTGCACATGACCCTTACATTGAACCTTCTGGTGCTGTTCTCCTATGTAAGAGGCTCTCTATGGCAGTGTTTCAAATGTTTTGACTGCACCCACAGTAAGAATACATTTTATAGAAAAGAGGTTTCATGACACAGTTCTGACTTTCACTGTGCAACTCACTCTGTAATGTTCTATTTTCTTTCTAAAGATGCTGGTCATGACTTAACTAAACTAATTTCATGACCCACAGGTAGGTTGCAACATGCAGTTTGAGAAATGCTGCTCTGGGGAATGAACAAAAGCGAAATTTTCTGTCTCTAAAAAGTGCTTTGTAGCCAAGAACTTTGCAAAATGCTTTCTAAATGAGTAACACGCTTTGCAAATCATGAAGGGCTCTAGAAACCGCAGAGCGTGGAGACATAATCACACAGGAACTCCTCACCTACCCTTGCTCCACAGAACGATGTCCTCCTCCCTTTATGATGCCGTGTGACACTGTCCCCCTTAGAAGTCCCCTCCACACCCAGTGGGGGCCTGGGAATCCATCCCCCCCATTCAGTCCTAGACTCTGCTCTTGTGATTCGCTGCTCTCTCTTCGTCATTGGCCATTTGTCCACCCCCTGCTTTCGAAATACCTTCTCCTCTGACTGTAGTCGGTTTCCTATGTTAAAATGTTCTTCTCTTCCAGGCCCCTAGAGGTTGGGGGACCCCAGGCCTGGAATTGGCACCTTTTTCTTTAAATATACACTCTCCATGGAGATATCATTAAGGTCCAAGGCTCTGGATGTCATCTCACACCAGTGATGACCAAGTCTGCATCCTAGCCCTGACTGCTCTCCAGAATCCAGACACAGCTGAAACCCTACCTGCCATCTCTTTGCAGATCCCTACCCCAAATTGGAAATGGCTAAAACTGAACTCTTGATTTCAAAAGCTGTCCTCCCACAGTCTTACCCATCTCAGGAACTGCATCACCACCCACCCGGGAGCTGAAGCTAAAATCTTTGAGTCATCCTTGATTCCCCTCTTACATCTCACCACCCACACCTGATCCATCAGCAGATCTGTCAGCTCTGCTCTCAACAGATCAAGGACCCACACTCTCTCCCCCTCAATGGACCCCACCCTGGTTTCGCGCCCCCCGCATTGTCTCTCATTGGACCATCACAGCAACCTCCTCCCTGGTCTCCCCCTTCCCCATCTGTCCCCACAGTCTGTCCCCTACACACAGCTGAAGGGACTCTGGAAACATCTGAGTCAGACCACATTCTGCCACCCCCCACTTCCACTCAGAATCCTCCCTTGGCTCCATCTATTCAAGTTAAAAGTCCAAGTCCTCCCTGCAGCCAACTAGACCCCCTTGCACGTCTGCCCCCTCATCTCTCAGACTTTATTTCTTCCCTCTCTCGCCCTCAACAGCTCTCCCCAGCCCTACGGCCCCCTTTGCATCCCTCTGTTCCCACCTTTCAGCTTTTACACTTGCTGTGCCCTTCACCTGGGATACTGCAACTGTCCTCCCCACCCCGCGCCACCTTCACCTGGTAACTTTCAGCTCTGAGCTTTAATATCCTCATCTAGAAAGATCTTCCCAGACCACCCAGCTTACAGTGTTTACTCAGCCCATGCTCTCTCACAAGCTACCCCGCTCATTTCCTTCAGACCACAGATTATAATCTGACATTATTTTATTTACTTTTTCTCATCTGCCCCTCCACACTGGGCCATCGGCTCTGAGGGTGGGATCTCTGTTTTGCTCACTACTACACACCGTGCTCAACACATATTTGTCAAATGAATTAAGCATCTTGAAAACTGAGAAGTGTCTGTAACTGTTACAGTTTTTGAAATTTAAAAAAATCCCCTTAAAAAAAATTCTGAACTTGTTTTTTAAACCATAAAAAACTGAAAAGCATATTGTAAAAATACAAAGATTTGTGAAGAGTTTGGAAAACCACATAATGCTGGGTAAGTGGTGAAACATTTAGAAATGAGAAGGTGGCCATTCTGCAATCTCTAGTGAACTCATGTGTCTGGGCATTGATATGAGGGCTGCTGACATCACAAAACCAGGACAGGATATGCCTCCTGCAGAGGGATGCAGCACCGAAAAGGGAGGTGCTGGCAAAACAACAGCAAAAACAGAAACAAAAATTCCACACCTGAGTCTGATCGAGCTCCTTGATCTAAGTCCAAGTTTACAGGAAACGGGGGACCAAGGAACACAGTAGGTGATGCGACAAAGTTGCATCAGCCAGATCCAAATGGTGTGGAACTTGACAAGAACAGCACTGTTTCACGGTAGCACCAGCCGCACGTGGCTACTGAGCATTTGGATCGTGGCTGGAGCAAACTGAGATATGTTTGAAGTGTAAAAAATAGATACTGGATGTTGAAGACTTAGTATGAATAGCAGAATGTAAAATATTTAATGATGTTCTAATTGGTTATATGTTGAAATTATATTTTGGATATATTAGGTTAAATAAAACATATTGTTAAAAATAATTCCACATGCGCTGGCTGGTTTGGCTCAGTGGTTACAGCATCGGCCTGGGGACTGAAGGGTCTCGGGTTCGATTCTGGTCAAGGGCAAGTATCCGGAGTGCAGGTTCGATCCCTGGTCCCTGTCAGGATGGGTGTGGGAAGCAACCAATCCATGTGTCACTCTCACATCCATGTTTCTTCTCTCTCTCCCCCTCCCTCCCTCCCACTCTCTCTAAAAATAAATGGAAAAAATATCCTCAGGTGAAGATTAACAAAACAAACAAACAAAAAAAATGGGACAGTAACTTACCTTATAGGGTTATTGTGATAATTAAAGTGAAATTATGTGAAACTCCTAGCACCACCTTTGGCACATAGCAGGCCCTCCTACTTCTTAGGAACCCCAAGGGAATGAGTACAGAGGGAGGAACGTAAGGGGGTCAAACTTCAGGGTTTGCGTTATATTAAAGTGCAGTTTACACTACTATTACAAAGACACCCTAAAAGACAGTAACTTACGCAAAATAATTCCCTTCTCTCTCCTATAACAGTCCAGACCCAGTGTGCGGGAGTCTACCATTCCAAACACATGGCTCCCGAGAGCATTTCCCAGCCAGCAGGAGCAAGTGACACAGAGGGCCAGGCAAGCAGCTCATCCTTAGAGAGGGGGCCCAGAAGTCGCACACATACCTGTCTCCTCACATACCTTTATCCTTACCGAGTCATGTGGCCACGATTAGCTGCAAGAGAGGCTAGTCCTTGGCTGGCCAGATTAAACCAGGGAAGCTCTGTTACTAACAGAAGAGGA